GTGTCTCGTGGTGCCCCATGGGACACCATGGGGTCTCGTGAGATAACAAAACACAATTTATCGCCAAAATGCCGTTATCTCATGGGCGCCCATGAGATTCAATCAATGTGGTCTCTCGTGGTGCCCCATGGGACACCATGGGGTCTCGTGAGATAACAAAAAAAACTTATTGCCAAAATGCCGGTATCTCATGGGCGCCCATGAGATTCAATGTGGTGTCTCGTGGTGCCCCATGGGACACCATGGGGTCTCGTGAGATAACAAAAAATATATTATCGCCAACATGCCGCTATCTCATGGGCGCTCATGAGAATCAATGTGGTGTCTCGTGGTGCCCCATGGGACACCATGGGGTCTCGTGAGATAACAAAAAATATATTCTTGCCAACATGCTGTTATCTCATGGGCGCCCATGAGATTCAATCAATGTGGTCTCTCGTGGTGCCCCATGGGACACCATGGGGTCTCGTGAGATAACAAAAAAAACTTATTGTCAAAATGCCGTTATCTCATGGGCGCCCATGAGAATCAATATGTATGGGGTCTCGTGGTGCCCCATGGGACACCATGGTGTCTCGTGAGATAACAAAAAAAACTTATCGCCAACACGCCGTTATCTCATGGGCGCCCATGAGAATCAATGTGGTGTCTCGTGGTGCCCCATGGGACACCATGGGGTCTCATGACATACAATGAGACTTACCCCATCACACACCATGGGGTGCCATGGGATACCATGAGATGGCTGTCTCATAATACTCCAGGGGGTGCCATGGGAGGACATGAGACACCACTACATCCATTCTCATGGGCGCCCATGGGGACGCTAAAATATATCTTTTGTAGTTGTTGTGGATCTCATGACCCACCATGACCCACCATGAATCACCATGGTTCACCACGGCGCACCATGAGTCCCCTTGACACACATTTTCCATGGATCTCATGAGAATCTCATGAGAAATCTCATGGGGCACCATGGCCATTTTACTCAAGGATATTTGGCATAAATATATTTTGTATATTCAAGATTATTTTCCAATATCTTATGATCCGCCGTGAGTGACCATGGGTCCTCGTGGTGCACTATGGGAGGTTTGGTAGACTCATGGGCGTTCGTGGTACCCCATGAGATTGTTTAAAAAAAAAAAACTTTTCATTTTTTTTGTTTTTCTGTATTTTTTTAACCGTGGTGCGCCATGGTCGCCCATGGTACACCATGAGGTCCGATACCTCACCATTATTTTCATAATTATTTTTGTTTTCAGTTTTATATCCCCATGTCTCCTCATGGTGCACCATGGGTTCACTATTCCCAAGATCGGCCATGGCATGCCATGGGCTCCCATGAGATCGGCCATGGCATGCCATGGGCTGACACGGAAATGCTCTCGTGGTGCCCCATGGCCTATCTCGTGGGACTACATGGGACCCCATGACCCTGTTCTCATAGTAGCTCATGCGACCTCATGGTTCCTCATAGTGCCTCATGGGCCCCCATGAGGCGGTATAATATCGTTTTTTATTTGTTACACAATAATGTTATAGTCTGGAAAAACGCCTTTTAACTCTGAAATCGGAATCAAAACGCGCGTTTTCAACCACGCCGAAAGACTTTGCGCTCGCAAAAGCAGCTCATCGGTGAAAGCTCCAAACGTCCACAGGTGAGGCCCTGCGCTCGTGTAGGCATGCGTTGGAAGTGTTTAGACACAGCAGCGTTCTTCTGGGAGCCCCCACGGGTCCACGCCAGAAGAAAGCGTGCTCCCTTGCATTTGAATGATGATTCATCTTCAACAAAAAAAGACAAGAGAGCAGCAGCAGCATGTCTCTCCTCTCCGCAGCCGCGCCGCACGACAACACCACAATGTTACCGGCCACAGGTCAGACCCTGGGCCTGGTGCGCATGCTTCGTCAGTGTATATGCATAGCAAGGTGGCGTTTGACTGCCTGTAGGTGTCCCGGGGGCTCATTTCATGGCATGGCGAGACATACATGTGTAGTTGTCGTTGTATTCACGGGAAAAAATTGTTGCGAACAGGCAGCGAGGGTGAAGCAGCAAGCTGCTGGCCCTATCTATCCTCGTGGTCAGATCAGCTGACACCATGACGACCAGCGCATTAACGTGTTGCGTAGGGTATGGTCGCCCTCAGCGTATGTGTGTGTGTGTAGGTTTCGTCTGCGATCTGTGGCCGCTGAATGAAGAAGAGGGAAGAGGACAGCCGTGTACTACTGCTGTAAAAGTTGTTTCTCTTTTTTTTGCCGCCGGGCGCTCCTCACCCAGCTGCTCACACCTCGAAAAACATTCAGCAGCAGCAGCAGCAGCAAGCAACAGCAGGAGCGGCAGCAAACAGGAGTCATCACTGTATCCACAGCCCACCTTTCTAAAGATACAGGGTTTCGCCCGTACGTCTTGGGCGCCGAGGGGGAAATAAGAGGGCAGCAGCAGTAAAGGGCTGTTTTAAATTTTTGTCCGCGCTGCCTCAGGCTGGTAGAAACTCTCAAATATTTCCAGCAGCACCAGCAAGCACCAACCAGCACCAACCAGCAGCAGCAAGCAGCAGTAGTAGTGCTTCTGCATCCATCAAACAGGTGATGCAGGGAGGGAACACAGCAGTAGTAGTTTTGGTTGGTGTAATGCCAGATTCAGCAATAATAATAGATGGGCGCGGCGAATACGATTTTTTTTTAGTGCGAGAGTCTGTAGTCTAGTGCAAGTGTTTGTGGCATCTTACTACCATCATGATTCAGTGTTCACCACAACTACGAGGAGATAGCCGTGCGCATCTCTACCGCCTTTGTTCCCGACTACTATTGTGCTTGGACCACCTCATCCCTCTGCTCTTGCAATAGCTCTATTGAGGGCGTATAAATATTGCGGGCACTCCCGTTGACGCTTTACGACCAGTTACAAGTCCGTACCGCTTATTGTGCCCCCGGCTCCTGCAATGTTCGTTGCCTGTGTGCTGCTTAGCGCCCCCCTCCTCGCAGGCATGGAGTCGCTACTTGACGAATCGTTTGAAGGCCGTTGGAAGGTTCCGGTGTGTAACCTGGACCTGTCGTTAAGCGGGAGACCATTGCGTCCTGACGGCGTGGCACGATTAAGGCAGAGCATCATGTCCAACGGCTGGGTTGACACACGTATCATCGCCTGCCGACGTGCTTGTGACAGTGGGGTGTTGGACGAGGCGACGGCGAAGACAAGGCCCCTGGAAATCATAGATGGACGCCACAGGTACTATGTATGGTGCATACATTAGGTGGAATATGGGTTAGGGGTTTTTGAGTGTATTCGCCCCATGTTGTACTTGGCGCCAGCCTACCAACCAGTGCGTTTACCACGGGTTTGTGCTTGGCTCAAAGTTCGGGGTCCCACAAAAGGAAGGTATGGTAGCCACAGCAAAAAAAAACGAAGTTATGTTGTTGGTATACCCCACGTGCCTGCGGCAGTCGCTGTCGTTTTTTTCTTCGCGACAAGGATTGCGCCGTCCCTATCGATCGGTCGTCGACCTCGAAGCGGGAGTACACTCGCATGATTTCGAAGGTGTATTCTTCGAAGGTATTTATTTTATTCGGGTATCAATTTGTAGCAAGTATATCGGCGAGTCACAGTTGAGTCGACTCGTTACAGCAGTAACGAGAGAGGGCCGGGAAGAAAGCGGTGTTCGCGCTCGCTCGTGGCTAGGAATGGTCCCCATGTCATGATGGAACAACACAGGACAACGTGTTCCACGCGTTCCTGCCAGGACAAGCAAACGCCCCCACTGGCCGTGTTTTTTTTTTGTACTGCAACAGATGTGCAGCTCTTCTTGCACTCAACGAGGAGTCAGGAGAAGACATCTGCCCGCTCGTTGATGTTCATCGTGCAGTGGACGTGGATACGGAGAAGTAGTGCGGATGGGTTGGTTGTTTCAGCCTTACATTTTTCCATGGCGGCTGGTACGCCGGCAGCGTGAACTAACTGCAGAAACCGTTGTTTTTTTTTCGACATGCTGGGTTTGGTTTGCACCTCACTATGTATGTATTTAGATTAGGGCCGCCGATGCCAGGCACAGAAAGAGGCGGCCTTTGTCTTGCAAACAAGATTTATCACAAAGGAGCGCGAGAGTACAAAAGTCTGCTGTGTGTGTGCGTCAAAAAATAACACGAGGAGACTGAAACTCAATGGACCAAATGACATCAACGTACAACCCTAGAGTTAGCCCCACCCTTAGGATTTGGCATGTCCGGTAGTCCAGGTTCTTTAGTTGTGCCGAGGAGTCCAGCGATGGCGTTTATTTTTATTCTACCCAGAACGCACAAGACAGCCTTGCACTGCTGTATGTAGGGGATGCATTTTACAGCATAAAGATAAACAAACGTACGGCTATCGTACTCCACACCCAGGTGCGCAGGATGTCACCGAAGCAGTTGTCAAGACCACGTTGTTCGATCGGATAGTGTCAACCAAGGCCGCTCTGCAGGGGTGCAGTTACACCACGTCCAAGCCTGTCGCGGTGGAGGGCTTGGCCTCTGGTTGCGGTGGTTCGCGCGAAAACGTGAGACGAGAGTTGGATATCATCACATGTCGTCGTAACCTGCCGCAGTCATCCCTCTTGTTAGGTCGACTCACGCACCTACCTGCACACTGAAAACCCTCCACCAACTTAACAGTACTTGAAAACTTGGATAATGTTGCAAGATCACTGTACAAAATTTGGCGGGTCATACAGGAAGCAACTCAATGTTGAAATAGTTGCGCCATTCCATGCATGCATGTTGCTGTTGTCAGAGAATGCAATAATCCCATCTTCGGAACCACACTCACTTCCGCGTATGTGCAGGCCAAGAAGTCGATTGCCAATGCGACTGAAGCCCTCAAGAAGGAAGGACTCGACGCTCTAGAGGACGTCACGGTGCTTCGGGGACGCCCAGCCGGACATCGCGACCTCAAACCCTCACCGTACGGCCTGCATACTGAACGCGTCACACTGGAAGCCTTGCTTCGGCCCGAGTTCGCGGCAATGCCGGGGGAAGATCAAGCAGCGTACATTTACCGCATGACCTCGTAAGCTGTTGCGTGTTTAGTTTTGCAGGCGCTGGAAGCGTGTTTCGTAAGACGTTAAACACATTGTTCGTTACAATAACATTGTTGTTGATTACTTTAAGAGGTTGAAAACCCGCGTGCTTATTTTAGTCCACCGCGTAATATTTATCTCCTTAGTCGTGTTGCTTTGATAAATTCCTACGTTGAAGTTTACTTGCGTTGCGTGCAGTTCTGCAGACAATTTCGAAGTTTTTTTGCAGCGTACCGCACCAAACGTCCGCCTTCGCGCTACCCATCCATTTTATGCGGGACACCCAACAATTTTGTTTTTGTCGAAACACCCACTTGTTTTTGTAGTGGGTTCAAGATTGGAAAGCTAACCGAGGATGACTTCAGGGAACTCGACGTGGCGGCGAGCGCCACTGGTCGCGCCGTTCGTAGCGTTTCCGCACTCGTCGCACAACGGAACTGGACTCCAGGATTCCATGAGTGAGTGAGGTTCTTCATGCAGATGCCGCAACGGAGTTGGGACGAAGAAACGCACTTGTCGATAGAGGCTTGTTAATGTTCTTCAACAAACCACTGATATCTGCCGATTGTCCCTTTCCGCGTCGTCACAGTTTCGTCCGCAGGGTGATGGCGTACGAGCCGTACTCACAGTTCATCTTACACCACCACGCACTTGACGAAGCGTGTGCGATCCACGCGAGGAGCTTCCCGGATGGGATGCTACCGCACACGCCTCTCAACGAGTTCCAGCTTAGTCGACCGTGGCAACCGATATTACAGGTAGGTTACCGGCATCCGGTAGACTGCTTCACAAGAGAATACATTTTTGCCCTCGATCAGCCAAAAATTACGAAACCCGCACCGAAGGCTGTCGTGCACGATTAACCGAACTGGTCGATCCGCCGGAAACTCCACGCTTGTTTCGCGGGCTTCATGTTGGTAACCTCAAGAACGACGCCTTTCACCCCGCGGCAACAATTATTTTTTTGGATTAGATCAGGAGATGAAAAAGTGCGAGTCAATGAAACCGTTCCACGAGATCCACATCAGAAAGGAGAAGGAGTGAAAAGAGAAAGCCGCGTCGGAGGTCGAACAGTTCAACCAGAAGCTTCACAAGCGTCAACGCGCGGCTAAAGATGATTCCGCGTCGGAGGTCGGACAATCCAAGCTGAAGACTGGCAAGGGTCAACTTGCAGCCACGACCAAGGCATCAGAAGCTGCCGCTGCTTCCGCTGCTTCCGCTGCTTGTGCGCCGGCAACGGCAGCCAACGAGGTGGCGACCGACAACATGGCTGTCAGGAGGTGAGCCAAAAAGTGTATGCCCTCGTACGTGCGATGTGCCGTGTGCGAAGTGTTGTGCGATGTGCCGTGTGCGAAGTGTTGGCAGCTATTTTGGGTTAAGGGCGATAACAGCGACAGGCTGGCCGACGTGATGGCCCCGTTCCTTCCCGAACACAACGATGATAGCAACCATGGTCTACGCACACGACGCCATATTCCTTGACCAACATCCACAGGCGGCTTTTGTCGAGGCTCGTTGCGATCGACGTATTCTGCCCACATTCAGTTGGGGATCTGGATGGATTGCATCCGGCGGGCATCAGGTACACGCTGGCGTTCCTCAACCTCTCCCAGTTTGTCAGCATTCCGGCCGGGACTTCCATCAGCTGTTCGTCGTCTCCCCTGAACCAACGTCTACAGACCGCCCTCGACTCTCTCTCGCGAAGAACTTGGAAAACCACGGCACCGTGTTGCTGTCTGTACCTGGCGAGGTGCAGGAAACCTTACTTCTGACAGGTACCGCGTGGATCCATGTCCTGCAACGTGATTCTATTGTCGAAAAATTCCGTATAGCTAGGGGATTCTGTGTTGTCCTTCCATGCCACGCTGTTGTGTTGTCGGCTTCCTAAAACTATGAAGAATACCGTGCGACTGACGTTAACACCCTCGTCCTTTTTCTTCCCTCTCACGCACACGATGTTTCCCGCAAGACATGTTCGAGAAAGCGGGTCTTCGGGTAGAGCGGGTGCCACTCATATCAACGTACGCTGGGTCTTCTGACCACGCAGGCAAGAGCTCCATCACCTTCGTCGCGCACAAGGATGGGGAGAGGTTCATTTGCAACCCGGGGGGTCGGGAGAGCGATGAGGGGGGCGAGACGACACACACACCTCGGGCATCCAGGCCAACCTGTGTCCAGCCGCCTGTAGACGCCGCGTTAGACCCGCAAGTAGGGAAGTGGTCAACGCGAAGACCCGCCGAGGGGTCTTTCATCAGCAGCCCCCTGACCACGTTCTTCATTAAACGGTAAGATAGTGATGGTTCTGTTTTATTCTTGTAGTTTCGTAAAAAGGGGGTGCAAATGATGTGCCTTTTCCGTAACCTGAGCTGCTGTAAATCCTCCTTTGTACGGAGAGTTAGGGTGTCTTGCGCATACCATTAAATAGAGCTCCCGCTCGAAACGTCATCCTAATGTAACCTAAATGTATATGGCTCTGTATTTTGTTTCGTGTGCGACGGTCGTCTCTTGCTTGGTACGCACCCGCATCTGAGTCGCATTTTCCCCGCTCTGACATGACACACCGAACATGCACACCTTTATTTACCGCTTCGATGTGTCACCATGCCGAACCCATCGCCAGATATACCGACCGAGACGATGCGGTGCTCACAACTGATGCAGCCGTAGACACCACAGTTTGCGAACAGGCGCTCAAGCACGGACGTACGCTGGTGGCATTAGTCCCTAACTTCGGTACGGTGGACTCGGTGAGGCAGAAAGTGAGGAAATGGGAGGAGGAGTTTAGGTCGGGAGAGCCTCGACCCTGGGTTCGGGAGACACGCCCCAACATCCCTCACAGCAACGTGCCACGGTCGGTGGCGCCTCGGGTCTGGGCTTCGAGGGACACACATCCCGTGAACATCCCTCACAGCAACGTGCCACGGGAGGTGGCGGTTGAAGTGGCCTGGAGGCAACCTCAACACGCACCGCATGTGATCTCCCCGGAGCAGCAGGTCGCCGCCATGGCCGCGAAGGACCAGGGACTCGAAATAAAGGTGCAAAGTTGGATTTTTCGAGTGGGTCGCCGAACGACGTTGAAAAAAACGCATCCACAATTGGTTATCTTGATGTCTCTACAACTGCCGACCCCTCCGTTGCCTTGTTTGCGTGCACCCGGCAGGCATCCAATCGTCACGGACTCGGTTTGTTTGCTCAGGAGGACATGGCTGCAGGAGACGCCATGCCTATGGCTTGTTTCGGGTCTTTCGTAGTGCATGATTCTGTAGAAGAGGTCGTGTCTGCCATGAACAAGGACGGTGTCCCTCGCCACCACGTGACTTCTAAAGTGTGGCTGCTGTGCACAGAGTATGAGAACAGTCGTCCACAGGCCGCGCTGTACATGGTGCCTCACCGGTCTTGCTTCTTGTGGTACATGAACTCAAGCGGCTCGGACGGCGGAGATGCTAACGTGGAGGCACACGAACAAATTGATGCTGAACTTCTCAGCCTCGGGAGGCAGGGCCGGGGCGGTACAGAGATTCGACACGTGCAAAACCCGGCCTTTGAGGAGCTGCTCGTGCCATCTAAAGTACTGGTGTTCAGACTTTCTAGAGATGTCAAGGCTGGAGAAGAACGTTTGTACGACTACCATGTGGCGGAGTCTAAGGGTAGTTTGGGTAGCGTCTAAGCAGGGTAACAGTATAGTGAACGTGCTTTGGCGGTAGAACCTATTTATTCGGTGACAATTCGTAGAATACAAAGTTCGGCATTACTTGGCTTTCGATTCTGCGGGATGCGCTTGGTGTGGTAACGAACCTAACTTCAATCTCTAAACGTGGTGATGAACAACAAGGACGGACATGTTGGAACGTTTTAGGCCAGTTTTATGTGCCCTACCGACTCCTTTTTGTGCGCATGGGCGGCGATGGAACATTCTGCCTACTGCAGCTGAATTTATTACACGACGAAGGACGGAAACGTTTTGACGCTCGCTAAAGTAAGCTTACTTTTGTCGGGTGCACAGCAGCTGTGATCTGGCTCGATCCCGTCAAGGTATCTTCCATCGAATGGAAGTTTGTGCATGCCCATCCATGATCAACAACTGCACAAGAACCTCATTTCGGATGCCTTCTTCCGTCACAATGGAGGCCCCAGTTGCTTAAATCTGTTGTGTTGGACGTGAAAAAAGATGAGACTCAAAGGCGGGCAGCAAACACAGTATCGGGCCGGCAGCACCCCCATCGGCAAGAATTGAAACCATGTCACGTATTATTGACAACCACGGCAAAACTACGCCACCAACGAGACCGTACTTCCATGACAAAAACGACGTGGGCGACAGGCAGGACTCTCAATCAACTCGACGCCAACAGGACAACAATGACACTGTCTAAAGGATACGCTCTACCCTTCCTCAGCCCAAGATCTTCTTGGCATTAGGCCCCGAGTGCTTGTTCGTTTTGGCAGAACTTCGTCTAAACGGGGGGGGGCAGCGTCTACGCCCGCGCCCCCCGTATGGATGTTTTGAAGCCCCCGTTCTACCTCCACCTCCGAGTTTGTTCCCTCCCCCGACTGCGTCGACAAACGACCGTCACCACGCCCCCCCCCCCCCGCCGCTCGGAGACCTGCGAACGTTAGCCCCCCTAGCACTAATACCACTACAACTGCTGCTGCTGCTCTCGACTGTAGGGTGACTACCATGAGCGACATCGTCGTCTCCACCCTCCTCCCCATCTTTCTGCTCGGCTGTTGGCTGGCCTTGGCTGCGCGCGGCGCTTTTGAGTGCCTTCTTAACTGTAGACGGTATCTTCTTCCCGCCCGATATGAGGTTAGGGCACGTTGCGACTATACCGCTCTTGGGCTCCCACGACATGTCCTCCACGTAGGACTTCTTTCTCTGGCCCACCACTTCCACCCGGCAATAAGCCGCGTTGAAAATCGCTCCAGCATAGGTGTCAAAGGCGGTGCTCGACGCGTTGGCGACCAACGTTTTCCTAGGGGTATACCAGTGAAGCAGAACCTCTTCCTCTTTTCCCGATTCTTGGCGCGTGTCCTGCACTTTCCCCACCAACAGAGGGGCGGCTGAACCCAAGAAAAAGCTGAAAGAACCGACCGCTCCATGCGATACCTCCTCCCCCTCTTTCCGTTGTTGACGTCTTCTGACACCACTCTCGTGGTTCAGGGATCGCTCGCGGTTATCCACATACGACGACGTCAACATTTCAGCATCGTCGTCAGAGCTATCGAAAGGGTCGTCGCCATCGTCGTCGTCATCGGAGTTGACGTCGCCACCACCAACAACGCCACTGCCGAAGTCCTCCCCTCCGGGGATGTCGCCATCATCCTCCTCTCTCTCTTCTGAGTCGTCGTCTTCATCGGCGGGGAAAGAATCCGGCAGCTAATTGGTTTCTAGGTCGAATTTTTCTGCGGCCGTGCATTCTCAGCACCCGCAGACTGTCCAAGTGTTGTGCCTTCACAAGTTCCGGGTCTGTCAAACCACCAACGCGTCGTGTCGAGGTAACCGAACGGCCATCATCACGTCCATAGGAAGCATGTTGTTAGTCTATATACAGGTATACACACTTATCTTCTCCTATCATTCCACCTGGGACAACGGCACCTACATTTTATGTATGATGAGTATACTACGCTCACCGAGACTAACGAACGCGGGTAGCCTTTTCCAGGATGCCTCTTGGCGTGTCTGGATCTTACGAATAATCTCCTCGTCCACAGTCTTGAGTAGATACGACGGCGTCTCCTCCAATCGCACATCTCGCTCGCGCATTAGGCGCCAGCCCCTGAAACCGGCACCTGTCCCCACCGTCTTGCCGTCAGCGCTGAAGCCTAGCCAGTCATCGTGGTGTAACTTTGTCTTCACCTTCGCGACGATCGCTGTTCCTTCCTTGGAGATGTTAAAGGCCTGGAACTTCGTGATGTTGGGTATTCGCCTCGTGACGGGCTGAACTAGATCCTTAAAATTAGCGAGATTCTCGAGAGTACGGCACTGAACCGGGAGCGTCTTGTAGGCTGATTCGAAGAATTCTGCTAGGTGCTCTCGTGTGAACACCGCGCAGCCTTTCACGCTACGGGCGAAACTGTTCGATCGCACGGCAACACAGACGGACAGACAGAGAGACAATGTACATTTAGCATGCTGAAACAAGGAGCACGGAGCGAGTCGTCCACTGTCTAATACTTTCTTGGGAATGCATGCATCCACACATTATCACGGATTATATTATCATGTGGTAGTATTGTAAAAGAACACAGGACGACAGCGGGAGTGAGAGTTCGACGTAGTCTAAGGTAGTCACTACGTGGTGGGTAACGTGCAAACCACGCCTTGGGCCCATCGCGCGACGTCACACGGGTTGGTGTTAGTTTCAGCAGAGGAACGCCGCCCTTACCACGAGAAGACCTGGTCGATCTGGATGTGGGTATGCCCGACCATCATGAAGCACAGAGTCACGGATCTCACCACCCCTCTCCCAACCAATGCCGCTAGAAACCCCATGATGAAGTTGTTCTTGTTCTCGGACACCGTGTTGTCCATCTGAATGAAGACATCCCCCAACGAATGCTTCCACTGGAGGGTGAGTTCCATGAACAATGTGAACAGCGTCGTACACACCGTGTTGCTGCCTGATGTGCATCAAGTGGTGAAACCAAGAAATCAAATTAATGATGTGAGGACGTTGTTAACAACGCAACACACACGCCAACCTTTGAACATGCACAAAAATTAATGCCGAACTTCTGAAGCAACAAGCAGTGAACGAACATATTATACGTGAAATGGAACACTGGCGGTAACGTGCGCAGGTACGTACGTACGTGGTTCGCAGATGTTGTTCCTGTGTTGAGATAGAAAGAGTGTCACTACTTGACAGAGAGACGTCAAGTAAAAATACCTGTGCCGAGGATCTGCGGGATCATGAAAACCTGCATCATTATGCCTGACACCAGCGCACCATAGATCTTCTGGCGTTCAGCGTAACCCCTGCAACGAATCGGGGCAATATGCGGGATTAGATCCATATTGATTATATTTTTTTAGCTGTATCATACATGTAGGACTATTAGTTGGCCGGACCCTGGTTACTGTCGGCCGGTAGGTTCGTATCATATCCACCCGCACCTACCTGTCGTCGACTCCATGAGCCTGCGAAGCGCCGATCGGAGTAGCGAAGTTGCTCTGGTTGGCAGCGTCCACCTGGAGGTACACCGTTTCCCACGGTGTGCCGTTGCTCTTGGCCACGGCAGCTTGGTTCTCAAGTCTTGCACCATACATGCGATCTCTCTCCACATCCTGGACAAGATACGCAACGGACAATGACGGCGAGGACGAGGGTTGACCACTTGTTGTATGTATTATGTAGTATCAACCGTGGGCGATCGGCGACGACGACGGACGGCGACCTCATCATAATATATATGTAGACCCTATCTATCGTGGGCGATTGGATGCAAATGTCTAAGGATGGATGCATTAACAATCAATTAATTTGTTGTGTGCCGACCTATTACTACATACATACATACATACATACATACATACATGAAACCACAGCTGCAGCAGCAGCAGCAGCTTCCCGCAGCAGCACAGCAGCGAGCAGTGCAAACTATTATACACACACAATAACAACCCGTTTGTTTCGGGGTGAATTCCTACCTTGAGGTGCTCTCTGTATACCGACTCATGCCTCTCCCGCTCTGCGTCGTCTTGAACGCCTCTCGAACCGGCCTGCCCATGAATCTTTTCCTTTAGAAGAGTGCAGATCTCGCACAACATGAAATCCCCGTTCGGTTTCAACTTCAGGTTCCCGAAGTGGGCGTTCCACACCTGGTTGAAGTAGTTCTTCGAGCATAAACGCTCGGCAAGACTCGCTGGGTCTTGGCCATACAATTCCCGCGTGGTCATGGAGTATTCTTCGTACAGCTCCTTGTTGAGTCGGCGGTAGAGTGGTGGTGAGTGCGACAGAGTCAGTCGTGTGTGTGTATCTAATTGCTGTATTATTCCAACGAACTACACGAAATATAGGCTGTAAATTATGCATGTATGTATGTATTGGTATGTGTGTAGTTCTCACTACGGGTGTCAACTGTTTGTATGTAGTAAATAAAGTCTAGTCGTAAAAAAGTACTCCACTGTAAACTCCACTGTATTAGTCGGAACGTTACCACCGTCCAACACTTCATGATATATAATTTGTTTAGAGTTTTTATCGCGTTGTTAGCAGTGGGTGTCTTTGGTCTCTACTAATTGGTCGTACGGTGGTGATGATCATTGATGATGATGGTTCGTTTGTTCAACCACGCACAGAGATTCATCCATACAGGCCGTACAGGGCATCTAACGTACGTACGTACGTGGTGCAGTTTAGGTAATACATCAAACACGCCTGCCTGGGGTTGCTCACGAGTTTGCTCTTCAGGTAGAGGTAGCTCTGATCGGAATTCGGCGTCTTCTGCCCATACATGTCTTCGTGACGGTGCAGGAAGGCAACCACTCTCTCCAACTTTGGACGGTCTCGCGTCGACGCGATTGAAGCCCTTACATCCAGTTAGTAAAGAGAAAGCACCAAAACAACGACAGACAGCGCAGCAAGGCCCAGACAGAGCAGAGGGACAGGCAACAGTTAGTTGGTGAATCAAACTATCCAGCGTGAAACATAAAGTACGTGC